AGAGAGAGAGAGAGAGAGAGAGAGAGAGAGAGAGAGAGAGAGAGAGAGAGAGAGAGAGAGAGAGAGAAAGAGAGAGAGAGAGAGAGAGAGAGAGAGAGAGAGAGAGATAAAGAGAACGTTCTGAACATTTAATGGTTATAACAAACTTCCAAGCATATAAGCAAGCAATGTTAATCAGACAAAGGGATAGAAACATACGAGAAGCTTAAAGACTCCAGCCTCTTCATGGAACTTTGCTGCTACATAGTCCATCAGCTCAGCCTGATGTTCACCTAAGAATCAAAACGAGTGAATATCTAATTGACATGAGGCAACTTTGAATTGACAAACTTGTGAATTAATATTATTGGTTGATGCATAGCACTAACTACACATATGAGGTATGTGTCTGACCCAGAAAAATTAGCTTATCGGGATGCTCATTCCAGTTTGGTCTGCATACTCCATCAACAACAACAGCAACATGAGAAGCGTTTGCTGCTTTATGTAGCAGTATTCATAGATTACGTACTAGTGTAAGCTCTAGCATAGAGCACATTGTCCAGCATGGCACTGTGATCCAGGTTGTAGCGGTCAGCAATGTCTCGCAGTCGGTCAGGTCGGCTAATCACTCACTAAGGATATATATTATATAGATAGATATACATGTTTTATCGTCACACATGCACAGCAATTTTTCCGATGAAACAATCGCGCATACATCCATCTCAGGTGTGAATAAATTCAACAATATGCGAAAGGATACAATGTGTTTTCCGTGTCAATGAAGATGACTTTTCCACCGGAGTATCCGTTGTTGCCAGGAAGCTGTGTTGTTACTGCAATGTTTAGATGCATGCGTCAGACCTATTTATACGATGGAATGTTGGAGATTTATGTTACTATTTATTATGGAGAACTGCAACTCGTTTACTCATTCTTTAGCCAATTCTTAGCAATATCCATTTTACCATATCACGAAGAACTGCTATTTTGTTATTAATGGATTAACTCACTCTTTGAGGGTTCTGAGATTTTTATTTCTGCATGAATTATTATAGGCAATATCATAGAGAGTCTAAGAGAGATCTACCAGCACACATTCTCATTGTACATAATGAAGATATCAGTATACTAATTACCACAAAGTGTGTGTGAGATTTGTGTTTTTCCTGTTCTAAATTCCCCGAATGCTTCAGTGATAGCCATGCTTTCTATGCCTCCACCCAGGAGTTTACTGTGAACAAATATGCATTAAAATAATATTTTTGCCTTCCGTTTAGGGTGTCAATCAGGTGCCGACAAGCTGTGTCATAATGTTGGGGAGTATGGATGCACACAATTAAACAGTCAGCTAGCATGTTGTTCACTCTTTAACCAGTGTATAAAACTGGCTATGACGGTATGTTGCACAGACTTACATATGGTAGTTAAATACAAAAATCCCAAAATCGCAGTCACTTACTCAAATTCTTCACTGCCAGTGGTAATCTTGAAGACCTGCTTTCTTTTTTCACTTACTTCCAACCCTGTTAGGAAGCCAATATTCTGAACACAAACAGATGCAAGATTATAAGCTACCAACTTCCCAAACAAATATGTCATCTTGCGACCACAAAAATCCTTTCTTTTTTAAGTTGTCTCAGAAAATTCACGTATGTGGTTGATTTCTCTCATTATAATGCCTTCTAGATGAAAGCAGTATAACTTACTAACACTTATTTTGGCAACAGCTTCCTTTATTTTGTCAACTTTAGCTTCTGAAAGTCCTTTTATGTTGCACAGCTTCTTTCGAGTAGTCATCTGCACTCCTCGGATGGTACAGATGCCAGTGGTCTTCATCTTCTTAATATCAGCCACATTCTTTACAAGTGCATGAAAGATGAAATAGAATAAATATGCGTCATTTTATCCTTTGTTAATAGCAATCATGGGTAAAACCGATAGAAATGTAATAACTTCGTGTGTAAATGATGATTGCAATATCTATTTCACGAATTCGGATTGAATTGTAATTCTGTGTATCAGCATTCTGATATTAGCATCTGCTATCTATTGAAACGTTAGTGTGACCAACTCTTACGAATTAACTTCTAGACATGGGAATTCATGTAAGTACTGCATTTAAATGGTCTTAATGTAAAAGGTCACTATATTTCTGTTCAAAAGTTAAGTTAACACTTACTATCCCATGATTCTGTAAGGTATCGATGTCCTGGAAAAATGACTCCTCCTGCGTAATGTACAAACAAACATGGCTTGCAGTGCCTTTAATACAATTTTTTGCAACATTGCTAGTGCATTGCTATTTAGTATTTATACTCCATGTCTTTTAGTATATTCTTTACATGCTTGTACGGCAGTGGAAAATGCAACAAGAGAAAAATTGCCCACTCATTGAAAAACTGCTATTAATATTATATTATAATTGTGTTATAGGACCCTTATAAGGATTATGGAGATTCAAAGTCCTGCCAATGTTGAGCTTATAGAAATGGTAACTACTACACTATAACTCATAACTGGTTATATTGGGCTATAAAACAGAACAATTAAAACATCTTACATTTTAACCTCATAACGAATAATCATCAATACCATGAACTGTACCAGAGATGTCAAATTTAAAAATTTAAATTTAAAACAACTTACAGTTACATCATCCTCATCAAGTACGCTTTCTTCGACAGTCTGGTCTTCTCTTTCTATTGTGGCCATGTTGTTCTTTTGGCTTGTATTCTATTTGAATTTGTTACCACTAATGGTACTGCAAATGCAATATACGCATATATGATTTTGTCTTTATTGCAATTTTTTTATCGTACTCGTGCTAGCAATGACCAGCAATCTTATTAGAGTAGGCCTAACTTAGTAGTATAACTTAGCTTACTACTTAGTATAGAGTATAGGCTTAGAAGTCTTTAAAACTAGTTTACTGATATTTTATCAGTTTGTACTGTCACACTAGCACTGTTGGGCAAATCAAGTTGTTGTGTGTTATATAATATATTATATGTGTAATATTAACTCTATATTCAATTGTTGCATATGATATGACAATATGAAACAAACTAAATACTCACCGTAGAAAGTGTGCTGCTGCTGGTGAAATCGTCGTCTGCTAGACAGTGTCCGTGGCAGCGCATCAATATCGCGTTCGTTTGAATATGTTATAGGCCTAGTTTTATTCAATGCTCTATATATTTTCAGTTTAATTTATATGTACTGTAATTAGATTATTATGTTAACTGGCATAACTGTCATTCGCTAAATGGGTTTATGAGTTTTTATAATACGTGGCAAAAATAAATGATAAATACACCGACCTCCCATTGATGCCATTATCGCGCATAGCCTCTTGGGTAAAGGTCACACCATATCGAGGCTGAGACCTATAGCGTTATTTGCCTTACAAAATACACCGTACACGTGCGTTTTGTCTTTAAAATTCTCAATTTTGCCCTCCGTGAAGCGAGTATTTCGCAGAGAGGACCAAAACCGCCGCCAATATGGTGAGTTTGTGCCCTTTCATTGTTTTTGTACCATCTTTTTCCCTGAACTCTGTTTTAAATGGCGCATCATGTTAGACTTGTAATTTGTATTAACTATTATGACTGTCGTACTCTACTGTCTAGTCTAGTCTCTAGACTCTACATTTCATTTGAATACAATACATTCTCTTTTCAGACAGAAGAGGTTAACCCAAAAGCCTACCCACTAGCCGATCCCGCTCTGTCGAAGCAAATATTAGATTTAGTTCAACAAGCTTCTAACTATAAACAGCTAAAGAAGGGTGCCAATGAAGGTAATACAGTACCAGTACAGTACTACTGCTGTACTGGTAGTACTCTCTGCACGATAATCATATACCGTCAGCTTGTATAGTGTTGTTGCTATACCATGTTGACGCTATTTCCATCATACTCCATGATACTGAACGAATTCCGGGAACTGTTGCTAGGCTGTAGTCAATGCAATATGCTGATAAATTAACGTATATTTTGCGTGCAATCTTCCGATCTGCACAATGTTATGATTGTGCTGCGCAATTTACCGATCGCCGGATTAGCAGACTGTGCGGCAATCTTGAGATTGCGCTGCACATTCTGCTTATCAATAACGAAGTAATCGATACGCTCAGGCAACATTTCCATTTTTGCTCTTAGAAGAAAGTGTTCTACTTCTAGACTAATCTAAATATGTTACTTACAAGTAACTGTTAACCTAACCTAGCTCAACTTTACAATTTCACCGAGAGTCAGAGATGATTAGAAAGGCCCAAACGCTTACAAATCCTGTAAAATCGGGCCTGCGCAATCTTATCGAACTCTAGCACCCCAACCCACGCTAATAAACTGGCCAGCAAACCCTGTAAGACCGGGCAGATCGGTAGATTGCGCTGCGCGATTATAAGAATGCGCAGCGCAATCTTAAGATGCCGCAGATCGGAAGATTGCGCGTAACATATACAATAACAACAATAGCAATACAAATGCAACGCTTCCCCATTACTGATTAGTGAGCCCGAGACTATTTTATCACTGTCAATTTCGGTTATGCGTGCGTGTACAGAGTATGCTTTAATAATATTTTTTACTGTGTTTTGACAGCAACGAAGACCCTGAACCGAGGTATAGCTGAACTCATAGTGATGTCCGCAGATGCAGAGCCACTCGAAATTCTGCTGCACTTGCCTCTGCTGTGTGAGGACAAGAATGTACCCTATGTCTTTCTCAGGTCCAAAACTGGTAATTTGAACATGTATACCTTTATCATAAAAGATCCCACGTTGCAGAAGCAATAAATATTTAATTGATTAATAAGTTAGCGAAAATTACTCCTGGAGGGTTCAGCATGTGCTGTATAAGTGTGTGTGTGCGTGTGCGCGTGAGTGCTCTTATATCCTTTATTGTTTCCTGCAGCTGTGGGTTGTTTGTTGTGTGTCGTAGCCTGTAAGCGTGTGTGTTTCATTGTTTCTTGCAGCGCTGGGCTGTGTGTGTGCAGTGTCGCATGCCATCATCATGTTTCATTGTTTCTTGCAGCGCTGGGCCGTGCGTGTGGAGTCTCGCGTCCTGTCATTGCGTGCTCCATCACCGTGAACGAGGGCTCTCAGATCAAGCCCCAGATTCTTACTCTGCAGAGGAACATAGAAAAGCTGCTCATCTAGATGCCCTCTTCAGCAGGGAGGAGGCGATGTGACTGTAGCGTGGAATGCCTGTAGAGGGAGCCATTGCAGGGGCTGAACGGAGTGTTGAATCATTGAAATTTTCACCAAAGTGTCATGGTCGATTACCAAGTTTCATTCGACCACATAGAATGTTATTATAAGCAAATAATGTGTACAATCATACCGAAACATTTTCATTTATTTCCTTTCATTAGCGTTCGTCTTTCGTTGTTACAAACAAGTTGGGTTTAAATACTGTAGTGTGCAAGAGGCATGTACATCTGTCTTTTAATGCGAAAAGGCCTAGTATAAGCTGCTATGAGGGGTTTTAGCGAGAAATGTTGTGTGAGATAACCGTTTGTTTCTACAACCAGGTGAGCGACCATGTTTTTATATCTTGTTCCATACAATTCCTGTATAAGGTTTGCGTAATTGATTTTGTCCTTCTGTGTCTGTAGACTGCACTAGTATTGTTTATCTCGGCAATTTTTCATCTCTGCAGCCAAGCTGGCAGCATTTCGTTTACATCATGAGAGTGTGGGTCATTCACCATGTCATGACTACTGCAGCTGCCGGTGTACATTCCACTAGCTTGACATCGTGTGTGAGATTGTGAGAAATTAAATTGGGAGAGAGAACCTACTGTTCAACAGAGAGACCACATTTATTTTGGCGATACTTGCTAGGAACTCACTTGCTGTGCTACCCTGTTAATTACTATTAATTCATAAATAATGGAATGTCTTTAGGTATGTATTTGGCAGAATGTTGTCCTATTGCAATAATGTGATGTAAACCGAAATTTTTCTGACTGGTGCATTTGTAGTTAAAATACATAGGGCTTACATTGTCTGGGATTTTGTTTTTATTGTACATACCTTTGCTGCAAGCGAAATTTGTAAACTTACAATTATTTTTGGTACTAGTAGACCAATATATCTATGTTAAAAAAAATAAAGTCCTGTAAGTAAAGCTGAGAGGGTCTATGTCCGCCAGGTTACTGCCGGAACGTACCCTGGTTACTGTCCGGTATACCGGAACGTGCCCTGGTACTATCTAATATGCCGGACCGTACCTCGCCTACTCTACTAACGTGTCTAGGGAGTCGCCTACGCCTACTCCCTAACCCTAACCATATCAAATAGTTACCAGGGTACGTTACGGTATACCGGACCGTACCCAGGTTACGTTTCGGCAGTACCCTGGGGGACATAGACCCTATGAGAGCAAGTAAACTTGACAGACTGCCATTGTGTCTCTTCATATATATGACCGTGGGACAAAGATTGACCGTCTCATTGATTTGAGATCTCATTTTAGGAAGACGTCTTCATATTTGTGTAGGTAAACTCATGTAATAAATGGATGTCTATGTCAACATTAGTCATTTTTTATTGCTTTTATCTCGTGTAACCAGAGAATCTCCCATTTGTAGACATTTGTAGTGATATATCAGATCAGGTGGTGAATGGTGACAGTTTTGCTAAATATATGTTTGAGTGTTATGTTATAATTGACATGACACTTCTGCAGAATGTTATCAGTATGTATCTTGAACAAGGGAGTTACTATACATATCCACATTGTTTCTTCAATCATTATTGCACAAGTGCATAGGAGATATCACACATAGATTGCTTCACTGAACAGTAGGTGGCACCATGGTGGCACACTGTGCACGCTCCCTTTCGTGCAACATTGTTCAGTTATGTTAGACTGGTACCCCGGTCCCACTTCTCGGCTTTAGTTACTCGATGGGTTACTCGATTGTTACCCTCATCGACTAATCGCGGTGGGAGCGTGTACCAGTCTACAGTCATGTGGGAATTTTTTCTGTTGGTAGATGTCGCGGGCAAACTCAAACTGTTTCACTTGCTGTGTAGGTTGTCAGTGAAAATGGCTTTCAAATAGAAATTTCGATACAAGAAGATGTTGTGGAATATTCTATATTTCCGCATTAAATATTGGTTTTTAGCGCGAAAACCACAAGAGAAGAGCTCGAAGAATGTCTAGACAAGTATTTGGCGTCGCTGAGTGCATATTTAGTGGATTACATTTGGCAAAACGAACCGTTTAGTCTCACAGTTTTCGACTCTAGTGCAGTGGGTAAGAAATGCAGTTTTGTTGTCTAAATTATTTTTTTTCAAAAGCTCTCAAAACTCTCTTACAACTACTTGTGAGAGTGATCAGAAATAAAAAGTATTGTAATGAACTAATGTGTTTCATTTTGCTGCAATGAATTCTTATATCACCTCACCAGTGACAACAGCATTATTCATTTTAATTTTTATTGTACGCGAGTTTGTGTTATTGTGTGTTATTAATATCAGGAGTAGATAATAGGGAGGAGTGTGACATCAATAAACAAGGGAAATTCGTATTTAACTAGTCCTTATAATACCTGTACCGATTTACTAAACGGCGTAACTCATGATTCCGCCAACTTGAGCGTTCAAACATCGACACTAGTACATTCGCGTGCTGTTGTCAGCCGGGCACGCCCCCTCAGCGTCAGTACCCCGAGTAATAGCTATATAGTTACAGCGCTCGGTGTCAGGGCCGTCATCATCGGTACGAAATCGTTTCCTCGTAGACACCCGCAATCCCGGAGATTACAGCCTAACGTAACGAACACGATTCTCGAGCATTCTCGTGTGCCCATTTAATGCCAACGCCCATTGCGCCAGTCTATAATTCAGACAAAAGGCAGCAGAGGCCCTGGCGGCGCAGATCGCTGCTGTTTGCTCTCTCGGGATAGCTGAATGTGGCGTTGTGGCTCGCATGGGAGATTGGAGATCGAGGCAACCACTCGCACGAGCATAATCATTTATGGTTTGGCGTGCGTAGCGTGAAGGCAATGCCGAGCTATGTCAGGTGGCCTGTGTAGCTTGTACTCGTCAAAGGTTAATCTCGGCCGAGGTGTTTTATTTCTAATGCTCCCCGCGAGCGCAGCAATGCCTCGCATTCAGTTAGCAATAGCGGGCGTTAGGTAGACTGCCTTTTGTTTGAATTATAGCGCGCAATGGATTGGATTGATGGCCGAGAATGAGAGAATCGTGTCGTACGTTTTAGGCTGTATCTCCGGACTTGCGGGTGTGAATACGAGGAAGACGATTTTCGCACACGATGATTTGGCCGCAATGTTACATCTGATCCGATTTGAGCTCAAAGTTGGATGAGTACGTTGTAGTAAATCTAGGTATTATAAGCGCTAGTAAAATGACGAATTTCGCCTTGTTTTATTGCATCGTCACTTCTCGCTGTTTTGTTTTTTTTTTGCCATGAGGTATACTCGTGTTGTTCGCGGTACCGAAGGTAAGCGCGTTTTGCAGAAGTTGAAACGAGTAGTACTCGATGTTCCGCCGTTGAACAGTGCTTAATATTAATAATATTAATATTAATCCTGGTTGTTTATTCGTGTTATCTAATATCCCTGAACGTTTAATTACCTCAACTGGACTGTCCATTATAAATAGTAGAAGTAGAAGTTACTCGGGCACCTTAACTAAAGGCTTTTCCGCTAGCACTTGTTTTGAGAACGACAAATCCAAGTTCATTGTGTCAAGACTTTCCAATCTGTAATTTCATAAATCTCACTAATCACAGATCAGAATCTGAATCACAGTTATTTTGATCTTCAAATATGAGGCTGTTGTTTTGAATAATACTAATAGTCGCATTCCGAGCATAGACGGTAAAACACTTCAATGAAATTGCAAAATAGATACGGGCAAGTGGCTAGCGCGTCGGGAACGGATTGGCCTAGCCTCCAAGGCTACGGCGTACTGGACATCCACATCCACGACAGTGATGCGCCGCGACTTGCCGTACACAGCATGATTACGCTAACCGGGACGCTCTGCTGAGTCATATTCTTATCATTCCGTCCGCTCTCGGCTCTCGTGCCTCTCTCACATACACAAGCGCATCACACGCAACAGGCTCTCTCTCAGCTCTCTCTCTCACTCTCTCTCTCGTGCTCTCTCTCTCTTCTCTTCCTCTCACAGACACCACTCTCTGAAGGCTGCTCTCTCTCCTCCTCTCTCTCACGCATACACCACACATACACATTCGCATTCCCTGCTCTCTGCTCTCACACACAACACACACACACCACACACACACCACACCAATTTTCGGCAATCAGCAGTGTCCCGGATTGCGCAAATCATGCGTGTACGTGTCGCAAGCTCACTGTGTGAGATGGATGTCCAGAATCCGCGTAAGCCTTACAGCTTCCCGTCGAACCGGTCGCGTAGCCAGCGCCTAAAAATAACGCAGTGGCTACGCTCCCGGAACGGTTGCCATAGCCTCATAAGTCTAGGCTATGCATCCGGACATGCCGACTCACAGAGTTATCGACCGGGACGCTCTTGCTGATTGCCCGTAAATATACAATATAATGTCACTGCTGCCGTCTATGCCTTTCATCCGTCCTCTCGATCGCTCTCATCTCTCTCTCTCTCACAGCACACACACAACTGCACGAGGCTCTGCTCTCTCTCTCGCCACACACATCGCACAGCTCTATCTCTCACTAACACAACACGCACAAGTTCTCATCTATTTCACACACACACACAGCACACACACACACAACACAACACCCATACAACACACACACACACCATACACAACACATAACAGACACAAGCACACATCACACACACACACATGAACACACACACACACCACGGCCATCTAGCTCTGTCTCCTTTCTCTACGCAATACACAACACATACACATTGCGCCTTTCTACATCTCTCTCTTCTCTCTCTCTCGTCTCTCTCTCTCTCTCTCTCTTCAACACACACGCGCACATCAAGCACACTCTGCTGAATAAAATGCTGGCAGAACCCTCTGTAATTAGTATAATACTATAAATCATCCGTGGTGCAACATTTGGAATGAGATACACTAATACTAATAGTGGTAGTGGAGTGAGCACCAGGAGCTGGGGCCCGTTGTCAGAAACTTCGTAAAAGTTACGATTAATTTTAAAGTCTAATGTTTAATGTTAAAGTTAATTTTAATAAGCAGTTGCCAGAAACGCAACTTAAACTAAACTTACTTAAGTGAAAACTCAGCGATAAACAGGAAAATTCATAATTTCATGTCACAAGGCTGCTGATTAGATGAGAATCGATCAACAAAATTCAAATTCATACACAATTTATGTAGCATGCACAGTATGTATGCAATATTATGATGGCTAACCACATATTAATACATATTTGATAAAAAATTAACGTGATCATGAATTTATTCTGCACAAACAGACAAATTCTGCACACTGTAACACGCAGACGCGAGACTAATCGTGGCAAGCGTTGTGCAAACCTTTTAGAAACAGAGAACAAATGCCCATAACGTCATTTGTAAATGTATTGTTTGTTTTATTAGCAGTAGATAATAAATGATTTGACGTGTTTTTCAAGAAAAACACAAACTTTTATTCAATTATTATTAAAATATACATATCACTATAAATTGTACATTCGTAGTGTAAATATGTTATTTTCAACATTTTTATTTTTTTTTTTGTAGTAGTATGATCTTTTCTCTGGCCCAACATTGGGCTGATCATTATTACCTTTTTTAATATTAAAAGTTAAGGGAGGGTGCTAGGATCTCTTAAGTTAAGAGAAAAAGTTACGAGAATTTTTAATTCCTTAACTTTATGAAAGTTTCTGGCAACTGGCTGTAAGAGAAAAAGTTAATGTTAAGGTTAATGTTAAGACTAATTTGTTTCTGACAACGGGCCCCTGGACATGATTGTAAGAAATTTACTACATTCTGAGTAAAAAAGAGACACTTCTAATGATTTAAATGTACATTTTCGACGTTACTAACAATCTGTTGTGGTTGTATCCGCTCCACACTGGAGTCGCTATAGACACGCACG